AAAGAAGTGGAATTGAAAGGTTTAAAGTTTTATATTTAGTTGGAGCTTTTATAAGCCTTTGTTAGTATATGGGAAAGAATTTGTGGTAATGTGGATAAATCTATTTTTGAGTTGTTCCTTTTATGTGACACTGCTTATATAGTGAGAAATAAACATGGACTTAATTAAGTGATATGAAATTTAACCATTCTGCTTTAGTGGCAAAATATAAAAAGTTCTTCAGTGTAGATGCCTTTAGGAATGTATAATAGTAATAATGGAACTGAAAATCATTATAATGGAATATAAGAAAAATGCTTTTCACCTAGCATTTGATGTAGTTCATTAGGAAAATAATATTTATTATTCATGCCTTAATATTTACTATAAATACCCTGAAAGCATTTATCTATGGGTTTATGATACACTTGTACACTTGTGTGTTCTATGTATATGTGCATAAGTATGTGAGTGAGGGTATATGTGTGTTGGGAATTGATATGAGGATTCTGTAGTATAGTCCTTTGATTGATGTGGGATAAATATTTATTCCAGTTAGATTTTCCTGATTGGTTATTTGAGGAAGATGGATAAAAGAAATGCCAAAACAATGGCTGAATAGGATCCTTAGGAGAATATAGGAAGGACCTTGATGATGAATTTTCCCTGAAACATAACACAGGCTGAGAGCAAAGCAGTAGCTACTGATAGTTTCCAGATTCAGGGCGGTTAGGGAAGGTGTTCATCCAGGACAAATTCAAACCTGATTTCTCTTGAGTAGTGAAAAACACAATTATTTACAAAATGATCCACACCCTTTTCTGTTCATTTACCCTTACATACCCATTCAATGACATGATCTTTTCAAATATTATTCAAAGTGAATTACTGCATGTAGCATGTTAATATAAGAGTCCACAGTTTTTAAATGTGATAACAAAAGAGTTTGCCTGAGTGAGCTCTGGGTTTGAATGTGTTAATCCTGTGCTTCTTGTTGTTGCTCTGCAATTACAGAAGAAAAAATAACCCTGAACTTATTTTGCTTCTGCATTCAAGAGAGTTGCTGGAGAAATCCAAAGAATTTGGTATATTCTTGGGTCCATTATAAATTTGAGACTATCTAACTGGAACCTTATTTCCGTTTGTTGTCTTTTAAACATCTATCTCTTGTTCATTTTCTCTTTTCCTACAGTAATTATTTCAGAGCTTCTCACTATTTAAATACACAGTTCAGCTCAATTCCATCCTCCCTCATCAGAGAGCCACTTTTTTGTTAGGAGTTGGTCATCGGATAAATTCACTTCTTGACTTGCTACATTTTTGATGCCTGTGAGATTTCTGAGGAAGTTATGAAGCCATTAGATATTTGAAAGTCTGGAGATGAGGAGTTAGCATGGCTTCTGAATGTAGGACTCACTAATACCTACCAATATCTGACTACCTAAATACTTATCTACCAAGGATATTGTGTAGGTGGAATGATGCATAATACTGGCACTGTATGGAGTTATTTATATTTAAGAGGCTAAATGGTAAAAGAGATTCAGGAAAGGAGATTATGAAAGAACGAGAAGAAGGAGAACTAGTAAAAAGTGGTATTACAAAAGTTAAGGAAGAAGAGAGTTAAGAATGAACAAGGGGTAATTAACAGCATCACATGCTACAAGGAAACTAAGTGAAGGAATTTTTTTTTTTTTGACTGAATCGCTCTGTGGCCCAGGCTGGAGTGTAGTGGCAGAAGCTCAGCTCACTGCAAATTCTGCCTCCTAGGTTGAAGCTATTCTTATGCCCCAGCCTTCTGAGTAGCTGGGATTATAGTCACACACCACCATACCCAGCTAATTTTTGTGTTTTTAGTAGACAGGAGTTCCGCCATGTTGCCCAGGCTGGCCTCAAACTCCTAGGCTTAAATGATCCACCCACCTCGGCCTCCCACTATAAGATTTTTAAGAATTTTTGTATTTAGCTATAGGTGATCTTTGGGGATATTGGTGAGAGCTGTTTTCATAGTATGATGGAAACCAGACACAAGTGAACTGAAATGAGGTTGTGGGGGTATCAAGTATGGACTACTTTTTCCAGGAGCTTGGCTTAAGAGGAAGATGAGTACATAGTACTGGGTAGAAGATAATGTAGGATTGAGGAAAGTGGTTTTGTTGGTGTTTTTTTCTTTTCTTTATTTTTTAAAGATCTTTACTGTTAGTTTTTGAGATGAGAGAAGTAAAGCAGAATAGTCAAGTAGAAAAGTTGCAGAGAAAAGCTATTTGTCTAAGGAAGAATCCTCTTTCTTTGGAGGCTAGAAAGGAGAAGAAACTGACCACTGGTAAATTTAAAAATATTACAAGTAGGACATATTTGGGGTATCCTGCATTAACTGACTGCCTCAGTTTTACTTCTGAAGGAAGAGCTATAGTACATATTAAAACCAAGGTTAAAAATGGTAGAGTCAGAGAGATTAGACATTTTGTAATGATGGCCATTATGTGAGCTGGGTAGAGGCATGTGGAATACTTTCTGGGTACCAGTGAGTTGACTGTTAATGTGTGGTCACATCAACTGGTAGTCTTGTGTGATTTTTATTATAAGACTCAACTTGGCATAAGAATTGGGAATTTTTTTAAGTTCATATAGAGTTGGTGGTTTTGTTGTTAAAGTTCAGTGAATGAACAGTTTAAAGAAGGAGTCTGAGGTGTTTAGTGAGAGATTGACTAAAGTGAAAAAATACGGTGGTTAGGTTAGAGAGCCAAGATTTAAAGATAGTAAAAGAAATCTCAAGGGAGTAGTTCTCTCCTTGACAATGCAGCATAGGTATAGCAGAAGGAAGAGGGTGTAATAGCTGATTAGATGGGTAATTAAAGCCAGAGTTATGGGAAGAGGGTGGAGTGAGGAACCTCTTGCTTTAAAGGTAGCAGTTGTGATAACAACACTAAAATAAAACCATGGCAGTGGGTGACTGAAGAGGCATGAAGTTGGGGTCATCTGAGAATCTGGAAATTTAGCAACAGCTTGAGAACATGGGCTCTAGAATCAGACTATCCAGGTCCAAATCCCTATGCCTTCACTTATTAGGTATGTGATCTTGGGCAAGTTATTAACTGCAGCAAATGTTGGTTAGTTTTCACCGAAATGGGGATAGTAGTGACCCATTTTAGATTTGTGTTGGGGTGGAATGAGGTAATTCACATGAAGCATTCAATCTTTGGTACAACTCAAGTACTCAGTACACTTCAGTCATAATCATAGTTATTTGGTTATTATTGCTAGCTCCTTTTCTTTTAAATCTCCTCCCATGGGAGACCCTCTGCAGGCACACTATAGACTATAGACCCCTTTAGGTAACTCTCCATCACGTTTTAGCACCTAGTACCATCTCCTGTAATTTAGTGGTTGGTGAGACTACCTCCCTAATTAGAGTTAGCTTCTCTGGTATTAAAACTATGTCTTAATAGTATTTCCTAACCATAAGCCTGATAAATAGGAAGTATAACCACTATCTTTCCAAGTATTAGTTGAAAAGAAAAATCAGTTCCATTTCTCTTTTGATGAGAATCACCTGATTACTGGTTGTTAATAAAGTTGATTTCTAGCATACTGGTAAAACTTGTAGAATAAGAGCAAAAGGTAAACCACAATTACAAGGGTTTTCTGATCTTATTTTAAAATTTTCTACACAAACAAGTAAGTACACAGTTCTCAGTTTACTATTTTGGGTGGATGGAGCGTCTTCCAGGCTGCATTGAATTTAACAAACTGGACAAATGCAAACTTGTTGCCCAGAAAGTGAAGTTTGTTTTTGAGGCATTTAAAAAATGTTTGCCATAATGTCAAACCATGATTTTAATCATGAGGAAAATTATATTTAACTTTATTTGGGCCATAGATCGTGGAATCTGGATCTGGAAATTCTGCTTTTGGGGCCAAGGGAGCTTGGTAAATGTTTCTAGTCTCATTGGTCTGGGTCTTAGTACCGTGGAGATGTTATTTACTGTTTATCCAACTCACAGCCTCATTCTAGCCGTTGAACCCATTCTTATGTGGACACATGACCTTTTTATGTCACTTTTGTTGCCACTAAGTATTTGGAAACTAAGGCTTAGGAGGGGCAGCTTATGTGATTCATTTTAAGTGCTGTATTTCTGAATTTATTACTTTCTTACAAAGCTTTACAAAAGTGCCTTAATTTTAAGATTCTTTAATGGCTTAATGTGAATGATTATTCTTTTATTTGTATACACTTGCATAAAACAGTATCTTCTCATTTTTAAACTTAAATAGCTATTCACTTATTCTTAAAATATGTATTAATCCTGATGGTTTAGTGTAATTTCCAAATACATAATCACCATCTTGGTTTTAGGGAAGCTAAACTGAAGGTTTTTTTCTTGATTAGAGAAATATTCCAAATAAAGTTAAATTAAGTGTATTTATAAGTCTGTACTATAGTGATTCATATCAGCTTGAGATAAGTGCTTCAATATATAATATTGTGATGGTTTATCTGGAACCAACCAATCTATAAACACTTTATAGAGAGCCTAATATAGTGTTATCTATGCTGATATTTCTGTCACTTCATTGTTACTTATTTTTACATTATTATTATAATTTTGTTTTGCTGCCAGAAAGCAAAATGTTATATACGATTGCTACTAATAGTTTTATGAGAACCTGACACATTTTAAAACGTTGAAATTTCTTTAGTTGGACAAAACACTAGGTTGTTACTATTTCTTCTAAGGAGCCTTTTATTTTAGTGACAGTCAATTGAAAACACATATTTTCCCTTTTTGGATAATAAAATAGTCCAAAAAAAGGGGAATGTTTATATAAAAAATTATTCCCAACTAACATTGTTATAAAATACAAAGAAAAGGACTCATATTTTCTAAACTGATTGCTAGTGAAATTTTAATACAGATGATTTCCATTTCACTCACATTAGAGATTCTTATTTGATGATATGCTACACATCCATCGTTGACAAGGATTTGTTCCTAATATTTTACGTGCTTTATTCCTAGAATTTAACACGTGAACTGGAGAATGGGGAAAAACAGCAACTGCAGATGTTGGATCAACTTAAGGAAATCCAGAAGCACTTTGACACATGTGAGGCTGAGCGCAAGCATGCTGACCTTCAGATCTCAGAGCTGACTCGCCATGCGGAGGATGCAACCAAGCAGGCTGAGCAGTACCTCAGTGAGCTCCAGCAGTCAGAGGCCCTGAGAGAGGAGGCGGAGAAGAGGAGGGAAGACCTGAAACTGAAAGCTCAAGAATCCATTAGGCAGTGGAAGCTTAAACACAAGAAGTTAGAGCGAGCATTGGAGAAACAATCTGAAACTGCTGATGAACTGACAGACAAGAATAACCAGGTATAAAAGCCACATTTCCAAGGAATGGTTTTTGATGTGACCCAACCATTTATTCATCCATCCTTTGAGGAAACATTTGAGTACCATACTGTGCATATAATCCATATGTCCTTGATAGAAGAATCCTTATGTCTTGACTATTTCAAATTGCAAAAGTTAATTTTAAATTTTTTTACTTAAGCCTTTTCATAGTTTAGTTTTAAGTGGCTTTTCAGAGTTGGCCCATACATAGATCTACCCTTTGCCCCAGTTTAGGTGTAAGTTTTCTGAATTGAATTATTCTTTAATCTTCTAATATTCCAATGGAAGAAAATGACTAAAGCTTCCTTATTTTCATATAACTTTTCTCCCAGTGCATGTATTTTTAAATCCCATTTATTTATATTTTTCAATTGGTTAGAAAGAAGCCTTTTAAAAAATGTGGTAGTTACTAGGGCCATTTTTCTGGCAGCAACTGTAATGGGCTTTACTTGAATGCATGACACTGAGGAATTTACTGACTGAGCAGTGTTATAGGATCACAGCCCTCTCAAGACTTTGCTTTTATGCCCTTTCGATAGCAACAAAAAGCATTTCACTGATCTATGTATGCGTTTCACATTATCTTTTCTCTGGTATAATCAGTTACTTTAAATGGATTTTATGTTCCTATGTTGATTCTCATCTGATATATCTTTGGGTTGAATTAAACCCAGATGTTTATAAGATAATAAGCAGGAAGGTCATGATTGATTTTTATCCATGTTCATTCTCGGTTTATCATTTGTGCTTTGTCATTTGTCACTTGTCAAGAACTCTGTACATTCCAGAAGAATAATCATTTGGATAAGTTGACTTTCTTTATAAAGAAAACAAAATGTAGGGGATTATTTTCATAAAATCAATTTTCAGCATTTAAGAGTGACAGATGCTTATTTCAGATGAGCTGTCATGGAAAACATACTTTATCTTTTACATAGGAATTTATCAGACATATAGATGAAAGAAATGATCATGTTGTACTCACTGTGGCTTGCTTTTCAACCCATCTGACACATACTGGGTGGCTGGTTGCCCTGAAGTAAAGCAGTTCTAAAGCTTTCAGACTTGTGTCTGAACTGATCTGATCCCAGGAAATTGCTCTATCTTGATTATTCTTTTGTCAGCCTGATCTGGCAACTGGCTCAATGAGCCTGACTATAAGGCAGGTAGCTAGAGAGAGGAGTGGTTTAGGGAACTGATTGATTGAAAATCTCATCTGGAGATTTTACTTAATTAGAAGAGATTTAGAAGGGTCCCTGTCATCAGACAGTATCCCAATTCATGGTGCTGAGATTTTTCTAGGTTGAGTTTTCAGAATATTAAAAATCGTTTAACAATCATTTCCCAGAATACTTCCAATTATTTTTATCACTTAGCATTACTAATGATAAGCAAAGAAGCAGTTTTCAAGCAATTGCTACAGTTAGGGTTGTAACACAATCATCACAGCAGGCATTGTAATTTCTCCTTTAAAAGCCTTAAAAATTAATGCAGCATGTTGCAGTTAGGGCAGTGGTTTTTCAAGGAAAAAGAGTAAGAATGTGTTCAGTAAATCTGTGATGTGGAAATACATGGTAAATCATTTTGCAAATAAATTTTTTAAAAATATATTACAGAATATTGTTTCTAAAGGATATTTAATTCTTAATAAAATCACAAAATCACCTTAAGGCATTTATAATACAGTTACTTTCTTTTTGATTTTAAGGCTAATTATTTTCAAAAAGTGACTCCAAGGTATTTGGAAATGTTTATTAAAATAAAAATTATACTGATTTCCAAATATAACACATTGTGGCTTAAAGAATAAATTAATTACCTAAAAAGTAGCCGTAATGAGTCATTTTATGTGCTCATATGATTCTATTCTCATATTTGCAATATGGTTTTGTGCCTACTGCCAGTTTTCTCTTTCTAGCATAAATTATTTTCTGCTTTAAGATTTACTACTTAAAAAATAAAAAATACTAAAAAATACCTAAAAATTAAAAACTACTGAAAAAAATACTAAAAGACAAAAGGCTTTTTTACCTTTTAGTATATTTTTAGATATAAATTTTAGAAAAAAATTCTCTGATTTATTTTTTTTTTTCCTGCTTTTTACATTTCCGGAATCTTAGTAAGGTGATCAGATATGTATCATATTGTAAAACTACTTCATTACTGAAGAATGTGTAATATCAAATCACATATCACTGCAGGAAAAATAAAAAAACTCAGACAGATTAAATTGTATACTTTCCTCAAAAGACAGTGAAAGGATATTTACGTCAGGGAATCATGATGTACTTTAGGAATACGTAGATAACAGATATTAGGAGACCGAAAGTTTGTAGATACAAATAATCTAGTCGTAAATTGTGGTATTTTTGCTTCTTTTTTTCTTTTAAGGTGCTTTTTGAAATTATTGGTTTGTACAGGTGCTTTGGAAACGATAAAGGAAAAAATTGGATTTGGACTCGGATCATAGTATATGCTTTTCTGAATATTTCCAATTTTTTTCATTTTGAAAAATATGGATAATGGGAATCCTTCCTAGGGTTTTTTCCTCCCATGCTGAATTGGCAGAATAACTGACTTGCTTCTATATTGAGCTTTTTGCTTGATAGTATTTGATGTCAAGAATCTTAAATTACCATATTTTCCTTCTGTGTATTTCCCTCCTGCTGACGGAAAAAAAGAGTTTTATATACTATATGCTATCTTGTAAAACCTGAATTTTTGAATGGTTGAAAGTAAGAAGGATCAATGCCAAAGTGTACCATTTTTTAATGCATATGCAGTCCTATCATATGTAGTTCAAGAAATGCTAGACTGTGTTTTAGTACAGTCCAGCCGTCTGCCTGCATTTTCCCTCACATGCAGGGAAAAACAAAACAAAACACACATTTAACAATCCCCTCATCTACCTTGCTGGTAATTAAGAAAAGCCTAACTGTATATATAATAGTTTGTGTTCAGGTCTTTGAGGAGTTGGCTTCTGTTCCTGTAACTGCCATGGTTTTAGACAGTATCGTGCTTTTGGCTTCACACACCTGTTTTCAGGTCTTTCAATAATCTTTTCTTTTGCCCTTGTTGGAAGCTCGGTTTGCCTGGTTAGAACATTCTTTTCCCCTTTTTCCTCTTGAGTGTGGGCTATTTCTCGTTTATGCCTTTACATTTCTCAAGGATTTTAGCACTTGGCTTCACATCAACCTGTTTTATGACATGCAATTCTTGCCATCATCCTTTGTAACTTCAGAGTTCAAGTCTGTAACCTACAGAGTATAAGTCTGTATCCTTATAATTCACTGATGTCTTATTTTACAGTGACCTTAACTAAAATAATTCTACTTCAGTGTCTAATTTCTGTGTTTAAATTTTATCTTCAATTGTTCCATGTCCAACTTCAGTTTCAAAGCTCAGTCTCTGATCTTTCATAATTCTTCTATTCCCTACTCCCTAGCCTTTTCAGCTATTAATACCCAGTTTTGATCTTTCCACATTCCTCTGGTTTACTAGACATTTTCTGGATTTAATTTTTTTCCTGTCACATTGGACTTCATTGAAAGCTACTTTGATGATGTTCTCACCAACATCTTCAATTTCTATCTTCTCCCTCATACGTTTTACTGATTTGTAATCTGGAGTCAATTCCACTTTCCACTTATTCCATTCCTTCTCCTAAATAGTAAGAGCAAAACTTGCAGAGAAGTGTCAACTGGCTTCTGTAGTAGTCATGGTTACCTCCTCGCATCCCCTATCCATTCTATTTGATAATTAATGTAAGACCATCACTAAGTACAAAATTGCAGAGAGGTGAACCTAGAGCTTTCAGATACTGTGTCTGGAGCAGTTCTGCCTGGAATGATTTTCTTTTCCTTTTTTTCCCCCCTTACCTATCTCAGTGGTCATGTATGAATACCTGGAATGATTTTCTTGTGGTTTAAGTCAGTTCAGATTGGGATTTTTCTCTTACCCTCAGCAGAAGAAATTCAAGTTTATGTAAAATTTGAGTTCTAGAAATAAGAACTGAAATTGTGGGACTGGTTAGGAGTCCTACAGGAGAAGTAGGTTTAGGGGCAAGAGAGGATCATATTGTTCTGAAGAGAAAGTTGATAAACCTTGCTATGTGGTTGGAAGCAGTTGGTTTAAACCATCAGAAATCATATTTAGAGGCATTGATGCTATGAATCAGAGGGTAGTATTAAGTGACTGGTTGGAAAACTTTAGGATGTTGGAGTATGTTGTGTACTTATTTCAGCCTTTAGAAAGGTCTTACAAGATAAAGACAAGTTTAAGTTGAAACTGGTCTAAAAGCAGAGCATTTTGTTTGTTTTTTAAAGTGGGAACCCTGAAGTCTGCAATCCAAATTGACTATGAGTCTGATAATTTGGAACCCCTTAGGCTTGGAAAAGCAAAATTATTTATCCAAACTGAAGTTAGTGCAAGCACAAGAGGGAGGCAGGAAACAGGAAAAAAAAAAAAGAGGTTAAATCAAGCCTTTTTCCCTGGGATCCTTTCAAGTACCTAAGCATTCCTGGCCAGACCAAAGGGACCCAATTCCACTGTTTTGATTTGCCTCAAGATAAAGGCTACTCAACTGAGGGCCCTCGGTATGTCCAGGGTATTGAGAAGGTAGTAAAGACATTGACATTTTCAGACTCAGAGAAAATGTCTAGACAAAATCTTAAGCTGTGCTTGTAGGTAAGCAATTAACCAGAAGCAAATTGGCAGAGCTTAGTTTTTAGTATCTGTACTGCCAAAGAAATTCCATACTTGACCCACATGGTCTGTGACTGTCTGCCCCGAGGCTATCATCTTTGTCAGGAATTGATGTGAAGCTTGGAATACTGCAAAGAGAGTAAAAGACGGAGAGTTACAGAATAGCAGAGCCTGAGCTTTGAGGGATTCTTCTTGAACAACCCTACCTCTGGACTTCCTGTTTTGTGAGAAAAAGAAATACCTTTGCTTTTTAATCCAATTTCAGGAAGACATAATGTTTCATAATTAAAGATGCTTTACATGGTAGGACTTCATTGTGAAAATATTCTTTTAATCCTCAGCACTGCCTGTAATTCTCTCAACTCATGCCAAGAGGGCTAAGTTATCTGCTTCAAACATATATCACTATATTGAAGGCCCCTACCCTCGTTCAGTCCCTCCCACTTTATCTTTACAGCACAAACTTGATTCTGTCAGTTTTTGTGTTCTCTAGTTCGGTAAGTAGAATGACCCCCACCTACCAGGAAGTCACCCTAATTTCTGGAACCCATGAATATGATAAGACATTATGCCTGTGATCACATTATCACATTATCTGGCTGGGCCTAATCTAATCACGAGTCCTCAACAGAAGTTTTTTTCTGGCTATTGAGAGATGGGGACGTCAGAGAGAGTTGAAGCTTGGGAAGGCTTCATCCAGCTGTTGCAAACTTTGAAGATGGCAGAGTCCACGAGCCAAGGAACAAGGTTGGCTTCCAGAAGTTTAGAATAATCCCTGGCCAAAAGCTAGCAAGGAAATGGGGACCCAAAGTCCTACAACTGTATGGAAACAAATTCTACTAGAAACCTGAATGAGCATGGACATAGATTCCCCTCAGCCTCTGGGCAAGAACCCTGGCCAGCTGATATTTGATTTTAGTCTTAGGAGGCCTTAAGTTGAATACCTTGCTTGGCCTTTCGACCTGTTGGAAACAGTGAGATAAAAAATGAGTGTGGTTTTAAGCTACTAAGTCTGTTGGAAATTGTTATGCAGCAATAGAAAAATAATGCATCTACCCTTAGGCTCATCTATATTGCTCCTACCTTACATTCTTTTGAAAGTGAAATCCTCCATCTGTGTACCAGAGTTCCTTCTCTTCAGTTATCCACTCTTTTCACAGTAGAGATGGAGTCTTGCTATATTGTCTAGGCTGGTCTCGAACTCCTGAGCCAAAGCTATTTTCCTGCCTGAGCCTTCCAGGTATCTGGGATTACAGTTGTGTGCCACTGTGCCTGGCTGTTTTTACAGTTGTGATCACTACCTTGCATAAAGACCTCCCTGAGACCCTAGGACCTCCTTGAAATTAAATTCTTCTCCAACTTTTTGTTTCCCCTTTTTCACTGATCTTCATCACAGTCTTATGAAATAGCTATTATTATTTTCTCTAGTAAGAGAAATGATTTTCTTGAGGCCATAGAATTGCCCATGATTGAACTGAGAATCAAATTTGCTTATTCCCCTTTTATTAGTTCTCATGTTAGCTCTGTGTTCTTTGATTCAGTTAAAACTGAGAAGGATTAGGGAAACTTTTTTTTTGAGTGATTGACTCATTAAATTTTTATCATAAATTGTTTTACACTAAAGTATGAAATGTAAAGTGTAGAAATGTCTTGCAAATATTTGCATTTTAACTCTATTTGTAATTCTGAAATGAGTCTTAACTGGTTCCTTTTTTTCTTGCCTGTTTCAAGACTTAGTGTGAGCATCAGTAAGTCAGTACGGAGATTACCTTTGGCGCCAGTGTTGAATAGAAAACAATCTTGGCTCCCTTGGCTGCCCAGGGGAGCCATTTTGTTTGCAATGATTTGGTGGTGAGAATTAGAGGCCACAAGAGTTAACCCTTGACCTCTGTCCCTCAATGTAAATCATAGAGAGGCTGGCATAGAATGATGGACTTCTGGGCCCTTGACTTTTCACGTGAGCCATTTCCCAACCTCTCCTAACTTAATCTTATGTTTACCTTTGTGGGCTTCAAGGCTCCCTGTTGCATATTGGTGAGTTTTTGTCACCACTGATATTTTTAAAATAATGGCGGAATGTACCATACACTTTCTTGGATGGTATCTGCATGTTTCCCTCTATTATTTTCCATCTCTGGAGTTTCTCCTTTTTAAAAGTGTATCATTGGAATGCACATCATTGTTATTTTAGGTAATACTGTATTATTTCAACCTCTGGTAAATTTTCTTTATAATGAGAGTCTTTTCTTTCCCCATTTGTTTGCCCAATTTTATCTTACACTTAAATAATTATTTGCGACCATGGATTGAAATAAGTTTTGGTGATGAAAATCTGAAATACATTCAGTGTGTTGCTATGTCAGGACGGTTATATATTTCCCCCCTTTCTGGCCTAAAAGTGTTTTTATTACAAAATGGAAAAAATACAAAAATTATTGATGAATTTTTTTCCCTCTGTATGGGTTTAACTTTATTTTGCGAACTGGCAGACTCTATGGTGAATTTTACAGTAACATTTGTTTTTACTTCATGTTCTTAACCTGATAGATTTTGAAAGAAAAGGATGAATTGAAAAGCCAGCTGTATGCAGCATTACAACAAATAGAGAATCTTCGAAAGGAATTGAACGATGTCCTAACAAAGCGTGCCCTTCAGGAGGAGGAGCTTCACTCTAAGGAGGAGAAACTAAGTGATATTAAGGCTCATCAAGCTGATCTTGAATTGGAAGTCAAGAATTCCCTGGATACCATCCATAGACTGGAAAGCGAACTGAAAAAGCAGAATAAGATCCAAGGCCAGATGAAAGCTGAGAAAGCTCATTTGGAGGAAGAAATTGCAGAGCTCAAGAAGAGCCAGGCCCAGGACAAAGCTAAGCTTCTTGAGATGCAAGAGTCCATCAAGGACCTGAGTGCCATCCGAGCAGATCTCGCTAATAAATTGGCCGAGGAAGAGAGAGCCAAGAAAGCAGTGCTTAAGAACCTTTCTGACCTCACTGCACAGGCAAAATCCAGGGATGAAGAAACAGATACCATCATCACACAGTTAAAGCTGGAACGAGATGTGCACCAGAGGGAGCTGAAAGATCTCACATCATCATTGCAGAGTGTGAAAACGAAGCATGAACAAAATATCCAGGAGCTGATGAAGCACTTTAAGAAAGAAAAGAGTGAGGCTGAGAATCATATCAGGACACTGAAGGTACCTGTGCTGAATTATCCTGATGATACTGAAGGAATTTTTCTGGTGGCTCATGAAGTTAATAAAGCGTAAACTTTTAGAGATCATTCTGTATCCCCAAGCACTGAAGGGAAGATAAAACCAACAATAAAGAGGCTTATTCATGCCTGTTCAGCCAGGTTGAAATGAGTTATAACAGCCACCTGGGAGTACGTATTTCAGAGCATGGAAGCCCTTTATAAAGAACATTTAGCTGTTTGGGGAGTTCAGGAAAGGCAGAGGTGGCAGTAAGTCGTGGACCTGAAACGTGCCCTTATCCAACATTTATGACCACCTAAAATGTAAAAGGCAAAGACTCGTCAAGGCCAGAGAAGCTATAACCACAGTCCTTATTAGTATGGTAACTAAAGTGGATCCGCTTATGGGCTGTGTAAACCCAAAGCTTTTGAGGTTTACTCCTTCTTTTCCAAATCAAAGTAGCCTGTGTAAATGCCTAACTGGGGTCTTGCATTTGAGGAAATGTTTCTAAAGTCTAATGTTATTAGCATTATCACCATGCAGGGCAATCATTTTGTAACAGGATTGTCAGGAGTGTGATAAATCTGCTCCTCTTCCTGATTTTTTTCTTTTCTTTTCCATAGCACTTACCATCATATGATACAGATTCCATACTATTTATTTTTTAATTTCCCTTTAATAGAATGAAGACTCTGACGATGAGGATTTTTGTCTGTTTTGCTTATAGCTATATCCCCGGTGCCTAGAACAGATTTTTGGAACATTATTAATATCTACTGAATATAGGTGAATAAATGAATGGATAAATGTTCAAAGGTTTATTATTATAATGTTTTTTAAAAGTCTTTGAATGTAACTACTACTTTAAAAATGCTTATGATGCAAGATGAAATGATATTGAAATAGCTGACATCTGTAAAACGATATAGCTATTTTATGAGTTCTTCCCCAGTCCTAGATAGCCTTCTGGCATTAGTGGATTTGGGGGCTTCAGGTGGTATTGGCGGGTCAGAATGGAGGCTAAATAGGTAAGAGACCCTTACTGTATTTTATCAAACCTAAGACACCTTGTAAGATGCATCATTGCTGTTATTACTAGATGCATATGCTCCTAAGAAATAAAAATGCTGCCTCCTGCCTATGAAACCATGATATGCTATCAAGTATAAGAACTCCCAGGTCAGAGATGGTAAAATGTGGAAGATACATATTTTAATATTGATGAACTATGAAATAGTAATCTTTCAGAGATATTAAATACATAAACAAAAGTAGAATTAGGGATATGGAGAAGAAGAGCTGCTCTTATAGAAGAGAAAATATATATTAGGTGTTGACTGACTGGCTGTGATAATAATACAGTAAACATTTTTTTCAACTTTTTGTGCCAGTCACTGCTCTAAGTACTTTACAAGTGTTAATCATTTCATACCCACCTCACCCTGCAGATTGTGTGGTATTATTTTCTCCCTGATGAGGAAATGGGGATACAGAAGGTTAAGTAATTTGCCCACAGTCTTACAGCAGGAGAGTGGTAGGAAAAGCATTTGAACTTAGGTAATTAAGTGACTATATTCTTAACTGCTTTGCTATTCTGGAAAAAGTTTACCCTCAAGGATGGGTCGGTAATGCCTTTGGGTGACTAGGTGGATAACGATGCTATTGCCAACGTAGAGAATACAGACGGGATAGAAGATTTGAAGAGAACAGTGGCAAGTCTGGTTTGCTCTGTCGTTGTTGTTGTTGCTTTTTGCATATTGTGTTAGATGGGAGGGACTTTAAGCTTAACCAAGAAAGTCTAGGTGGAACAGATTAGTATATAATAATTGGTAGGGTCAGGAATTGAGGGAGAAATTGAGATTAGAGTGAAATATTTGCGAGCCAGTAACTCTTAGGTGGTAGCTGATATCATGGGATTTGGATGAGATTGTACACAGAATAAGAAGAGGATGAGACTTTCAAACACTAATAATGTTTTAAAGAAAGAATTTAGAAAAAGGACCTAGCAAATAAAAATTAAAGACCATGTAAGAGATAGGAGGACAATCAGAAGAGAGTGATATCTTGGAAATACAGGTAGGATAAGAGTGATAAATGTAACAGGCAAGCTTAAAGAAGTATAAAAAGCCTTCATTTCATTCAACAGAAATTAACGGAGAAAGTACCTGAGGAGGTGTGAGGGGACTTGATAAAAAATAGACTATATAGCATTCAACAGGAGACCAGGCATCTCTTCCTCTGAAGGATTCAGAGGAGACCAGTAAATTGGGTAAGTTGGTAGGGATGATCTGGGGAAATTGATGTAAATCTTGACTGATTGTCCTTCTCTCTTAAGTAGACTAGGACAGCAGTGGACCAAGAAATTAGGAACAGAGAAGATGAAAACTATTAAGAAGACTGGTACAAACTGAATGAGACTAGTCTGGAAGCATGTAAAGTACTTCCATGTGGCTAACATTGAAGAACAAAGATTGCGGCCAAAGGAATGAGAAAGTTGAGGGATAAAAATCTGCGGTCAGGAGATCGTGCCTCTGCACTCCATCCTGGTGACAGATTGAGATTCCATCTCCTAAAAAAATAAATAAATAAATCTGCAGTCAGAGGTCAGGCATTCTTTTATTGCAGTGTAATATAAGAGTTTTCAGAGTTAAAGTCTAAGGTGTGGTCATGTAGTGGTTGCTATTATGCAGTGTTGGTGAAGGTGGTTGGGAAAGAACAGGCCAAATAACTTATCTTGTGGGATGGACATTTGGATATTTAAGATATTATTGTGAAGGTATTAATTGGTCACATGCCAGAAAACTCAGTGAAGAAGATGACTGGTCAGTCAGCTGTTGCCGGCAAGGAAGTGGGGGTCGATGAGAAATAGTGTGATGTCAAAAGAAGGCAGGGTTTTTGCATGAGGACAAACTTGTAATGATTTGCTAGGAGAAATGGGCATGGCCTAAAGAATAGTTTGTTTTAAGGAGCTTGTGGTTTTCTTGAGGGTGTTGTTGAAACTAGAATCTCCTTTCTCACTAGTACTTATGTCTTATCACCATTATTGTTTTATAATTTTATTTTACTTTAGGTTCTGGGGTACATGTGCAGGTCATGCAGGGTTGTTGCATAGGTGCATGCTATATCTAGCATTTCTCCCCATGTTATCTCTCCCCACCCTTCCCACCCCGCAGTGTCCCTCCACTAGCCCCCACCAACTGCCCCCAGTGTTTGATGCTCCTCTCCCTGAGTCTACGTGTTCTCATTGTTCGACACCCACCTATGAGTGAGAACATGTGTTTGACATTCTGTTCTCGTGTCAGTTTGCTGAGAACGATGGTTTCCAGGTTCATCCATGTCCCTACAAAGGACACAAACTCATCATTTTTTATGGCTGCATAGTATTCCATGGTGTATATGTGCCACATTTTCCTTGTTCGGTCTATCATTGATGGGCATTTGGGTTGGTTCCAGGTCTTTGCTATTGTAAACAGGGCTGCAGTGAACATATGTGTGCATGCATCTTTATAGTAGAATGATTTATAGTTCTTTGGGTATATACCCAGTAATGGGATTGCTGGGTCAAATGGAATTTCTATTTCTAGGTCCTTGAGGAATCGCCACACTGTCTTCCACAATGGTTGAAATAATTTACACTCCCACCAACAATGTAAAAGTGTTCCTATTTCTCCACATCCTCTCCAGCATCTGTTGTCTCCAGATTTTTTAATGATTGCCATTCTAACTGGTGTGAGATAGTATCTCAATGTAGTTTTGATTTGCATTTATCTAATGACCAGTGATGATGAGCATTTTTTCATACGTTTGTTGGCCTCATATATATGTTCTTTCGAAAAGTGTTTGTTCATATCCTTTGCCCACTTTTGAATGGGGTTGCTTTTTTCTTGTGTATCTGTTTTAGTTCTTTGTAGATTCTGGATATTAGCTTTTTGTCAGATGGGTGGATTGCAAACATTTTTTCCCATTCTGTTGGTTGCCACTTCACTCTAATGATGGTTTCTTTTGTTGTACAGAAGCTCTGAATATTAATTTGATCCCATTTGTCTATTTTGGCTTTTGTTGCCATTGCTTTTGGTGTTTTAGTCATGAAGTCCTTGCCTATGCCTATGTCCTGGATGGTTTTGCCTTCAGCTTGCTAGGTAAGCTTCCTGGGTCTTTTTTGTTTACACTGGGAGTTTGGACCTGCCTCTTCCACTAACCTGGAGGTGCTGCTGGGTGGTCAAGAATGCCATCCCTTTGCTACCTAGGCTTCCCGTGTTTTTTGTTAAAACCTGAGGCCTAGTCCCACCCATTTAATGGTGGGCTATGTCCTTCCTCCATAGGGCTCGATCATTCAGGATTCAGCTCGGACTGTGGCACTGGCTGTGCAACCCACTGGAGTTAGTGCTTCAGCCCTCTGGGGTTTGTTGGGGAGGGTAGGAACCCGCCCATCCCCACTGCCTGTCTCCCAGTTTTCAGCTCCCTCTCTGCCTCATGAGGGAAGGGCCTGCCCAGCTGCTCAGTCTGTCCTCAGATCTTCAGCTCCCTATTTCTCTGGGTACGGGGAGAGAGCGATAGCTCAGTCCACAGGCTCTCCCGGCTGGCTTATGGGCTTATGTGTTTGCTTAGATCTGTGTCCCAATCCCGGACACCATCCTGGATTATTATTCAACTTTGCACTTGCAATTCCTTGCTCTTGACTAGCAAAGATCCCCTGTTCTGTGTGTTGCTGAGGCTTTGGGGGAAGCGTTATATCTGGATCAGAGTGCCAGAGGGGGAGCCTGACTCACCGGTCAGATGCACTTTCTGGGTGAAGCGGCACCCCTCCCCACCTTGGTCTGCTCTGCCTGGGCTTTGCTCACCATTGGGCCAGACCCATTGAAATGCACCTCGGTTGGAGCTAGGAGATCTCTGGATCTCTGCGTCTCTCTCACTGGGTATTGTGCACCCGGAGTTGTGTCTATCGTCCATCTTGACTCCCTCCCTCCTTATCACCATTATTTAGGTTGTGTAATAATCCAAACAATGGTCAGAGTTAGTAATATTTTTTTCAGTTAGAGCAAGTTCAAGATCATCTCTATAAGACCATAATTCTCACATTCAGATATGCATTCTTCAGTGATAAATAGAGTAATAGAGGTATAACTTGCTTCATAGTAATTGCATTTGCTCACGGATTCATTGGCATATGGATAGTATATCATTTGTCATACTAGAAAACAGAATGCAGACTGCAAACTTGGACAACCGAGTCATACTTCTAAGGAACTTCCCTACATCCCCCTATTTCCTTTCTCTACCCCCAACTCCTCTCTTTCAGCCTTCAGATACTATCCGATTTCCTTTCCCAAAATATGTATCTGAGTATGTCACTTTCTACTGAAAAACCTTCACTGATTTTTTACTGTCTCTGTAACACAGTCTCCATTCCAGTCCAGACCCCCTTGAAATAGTTCTCCCTTACTCATGTGCATTCATTACCAATATTCCTCATACAAATATAGATTCCCATGCATACTTTTCACTGCTTATTCTCCATCCGAGTTAGCCTCCTAGTCTGCAGGAAGAATAATTCTGCCAAATCCTTTAAGGCCCCAGTTTTTACTTCTTTTATAGATCCACTGTAGTTGGAATAAATCTCAACTGAGGTGGAGCTAATCTCTTGGTCCTCTGTGTTTCTGTAGGTCTTTGTTGGTGCCTCAGATACCGCACATTGAGGCTGCCTTGTGGTTTGGTTTGTTGCATGTTCACAAGTCTCTGCAGGGACAGGCATTAGATCTAAGCCATTTTGTATCCCTTATGGTATCTAGCATAATGTGCTATACACACAGAACATACTCAGTGGATATAAGTTGAAATGTTTAAAAAGCTAGAAATCAGTGCATTTGCTCCTGACTTACTTTATGATCTGTTTGGTTTAGATTTCTCCATGCAATGTGGCAAAATTGATTTCCTCATTTTTTCTTTAGGAAGTGCTTTGAGTTCATTTGTTTTGAGATGATAACAAAGCTTTAGTAAATTCCCTTTGTGTAAAGAATTTGGAATTTTTATGCCTTCCACGGATCTTTTGAAACCTTTGAACTTTTTTTTTTTAATTTGAAATATTGAGATCTGGGAGGGGTGTTAAAGCTATTTCCTAACGTTTTATTGAGGTTGCACAGGAGTTAGAAGAATGACCAGAGATTGTGTGAGCCTAGCAGTTTCCTTTGAAGCCAAACAATTTTTTTTTTTTTTTTTTTGAGACGGAGTTTCGCTCTTGTTACCCAGGCTGGAGTGCAATGGCGCAATCTCGGCTCACCGCAACCTCCGCCTCCTGGGTTCAGGCAATTCTCTTGCCTCAGCCTCCCGAGTAGCTGGGATTACAGGCACGCACCACCATGCCCAGCTAATTTTTTGTATTTTTAGTAGAGACGGGGTTTCACCATGTTGACCAGGATGGTCCCGATCTGCTGACCTCGTGATCCACCAGCCTCGGCCTCCCAAAGTGCTGGGATTACAGGCTTGAGCCACCGCGCCCAGCCGAAGCCAAACAATTTACCCTTAAGGAACAATCACCACCTCATGCTATTTTATTAATATATCCATACTTTTTACTTATTTATATTAATTAAAATGAGTTGATAACAAAGGCCATCATAGGAGATGTAGTATATTGAATTGTGCACACAATAAGGTTTTAAACAAGTGGCTCTACACATCTTATATTTTTGTCTTTCAGCCTAACTTTATTACATTTTTGAGTCTAAAAAGCTCTGATAAGTCGTCCATATTTTTTCTCTGTACAAATTAGTTGTATTTTTTTGCTCTGTCTAGAATCACCCCCTCATACCTATTTTTAAATTTAAATTTAAACTGTTTAAATGACATGGTCTATCTGCTATTAATATTTTCAGGATATTGGTCTATCACCTAATTATAATTTCAGCAAAATCAGTTTGTAGAGCCTTTGTTTGGAATGAAAAGATGCAGGATTGGAGTTCTGCATTTTTACCATTTGCTGACCATATGATCTTGGCTGTTATTTCACTTTTTTGTACCTCACCATTAACATAGGAATAGTGATGTCCTTCCGTATCACTGGGTTCTTGTGCACAAAACATCACTTTATAAATTCTAAAATGAAATATAAATGTAATAAAAACCACAACAATAAGTAAGTTGTTAGTCAAGCTTCAGTATTGGTGTGCTGATAAATATTTGCAAACAAACTTCCTGTGGGTGGAAAACACTTGGTTTATAGCATTTACCAAGTTTGGTGTTTCGGAATATCCGGTTTTTGGCTGATTTCAAGCTACAAATGAGACGTCATTGGAGAGGGATGAACTTGGGAAGAGAAGAGCACAGCTGGCTTTTGACAGTGCCTGTGAGCTGGCTGCAGCACACTACCGACTTTAGGGGGAAATTCTTCGTATTTACCTATGCTTTTGATAGGACATAAAGAAAAGTAAAAGCATTTTACTGAAACTTAAAATCGTAACTGAACAATTTTCTTGATGAGAGACTTTATTTTGCTAATTTATTTTGGGCTGTGAATATAGGATTGCTCATTAAAAAATCAATTTCTTTGTTAATTTAATGTGGCATCAGGTCTTAGGTAAATTTTGTGGGGTAAATAAAATACAGATTTTGTCTAAAACTCACAAAACTTCTTTCTTTCAGGAAATTGTTTCCATTGATTATGTTCCTACATACCTAATTAAACTCATATAATAAACTTATAAAAATAAACATATTTTAGGCATTATAACATATATTTTAAACAGATTAAATGTGATTGTTTACAGACTGTTAGCAACTGGTAGGTGTGTTTTGTTAGCATTTCTAGTTGCACCAAGTTGGTTTTTAAAATCTGAAGATATTATACCTTTTAGGAGGCAGTGTGGCATAGTTGAAAGCATGGACATTAGAAAGAATTCCTGGGTTCAAATCGTGACTCTCTGTTTACTCACTGTGTGTCTTTGGGCAAGTGATTAGCTTTCTTTTCTTTCTTTCTTATTATTGCAATAAGGGCAATAGTAATACCTTATTTCATTCTCAAAGGTTGTTGTGAGGATGAGGAGCAAGTATAGACCAAAAGGTCTTGGAACAGTGTCTGGCAAATGGTGTTTACATTATTGTTATTTTAAAATTCTTTAAGTCCACATACCTGACAAATCTTTACTGAATTTTCTATATAGAATAGATTATTCCCAAAGTTTTTTTTTTAAAGGTGATTCTGGTTATACCCCAAAGATCAATAAGTAGGTATTTTACTACACTACTGATGTTGAAAAAAGTCACTGGTAAACTTTTTCATATTACATTTGTAGTTTCTTGGTTGTTACACTTCATAATACTTTTTAGCCCCATAAGAGTAGTATTGATAATGACTTATATAAAAAGTACACAGTTATTTCATAGAAACCAGGAGTGAAGTTGAACAGGAATGTTAAGCCCCATTTATAGACCAGGGAACTTATCAGTTAGTAACATCTAGTATTTCCCCTTTGGGACACTTCTCTGATAACCCCTTCCCTTCTTATCAGAGCTGGTGTTTGTTCTTTGGATTTCCAAAATATCCAGCTTTCACCTTCGACAGGCACTTCTCGTTCAATGTTGTCAACTAGATTGTTGCATCTGACTCTCTTACTGTTTATATTTGATATATTTAGCATCTAGTCCAGTATCTGTCACTTTGTAAATGCTTGGTAATTACTGATGAGCGATTGAATACATGCGAAGAACATTTCCTGTTTGTTTAATGTTTATATATGAATGCTTTGAAAGAGCTAAAATCTTGATGTGTTTTAAAATGTGTAATTTCTTTGGTGTATTTTGGCTAAGGCTAGTGGACTTTCTCTTTTTTTCTTCTCTTTTTCTCAGGCTGAAAGTTTAGAAGAGAAGAATATGGCTAAAGTTCATCGTTGTCAGCTGGAGAAGTTGAAATCACAGTGTGACAGACTGACAGAGGAATTAACCCAGAATGAAAATGAGAACAAAAAACTGAAGCTAAAATATCAGTGTTTGAAGGATCAACTAGAAGAAAGGGTAAAAATATGAGTGAATTCTAATTTCAATTTTAATTTCTTCTAGAATATATTTTACATATTAATAAATGATAATTGTAATCTTTCACAGGAAAGTTGTATTGGTACAGAAAAAAATGACAGTTTATTAGACTACTGTGACTTTTATTCTTTCAACCACTCATTCAGCGTCTAATACATTTGAAGTATAAAAAATTGATTTTAATCTTTTTCTGTTTCTCAAAATAGGAATTTAGAGATGAAGTAGCAAAGAAAGGAATGATGATTTACTGAGGATCTACTCTATGTCAGATATTTATGCCACCTGATTTACCTATGTCTACTCATCATTTCATTCTTACAACTCTTTGGGTTAGTGTCTTAGTCTGAGCTGCTATAACAGAATGCTATAGATTGGATGGAATAAAAACAACAGAAATTTATTTCTCATGCTTCTGGAGGCTGGGAAGTCCAAGATCAAGGTGGTGGCAGAATCAGTGTCTGGTGAGGGCATGGTTTCTGGTTCATAGATGCTTCTTCTTGCTGTGTCTTCACATAATGTAAGTGAAGAGAGAGCTCTCTGGGGTCTCTATTATAAGGACATTAATCCTATTCATGAGGGTTCTACCTTTATGACTGAATCACTTCCCAAGGGTTTCATCCTCAAATATCATCACACTGGAGATTAGATTTCAACTATGAATTTGGGGGATATACAGGTTCAGTCTATAGCAGTTAGGCTTTATTGATCCCTTTTAATCTGTGACAAAACCGAGGCTTAAAATATGTGATGGTTAAGTGTCCACTTATGTGGTAGGCACTGTGACTGTTAATTCTCATAGTGAGAAGGTTGTAACTTTGGTACATCCACACCAGGCTCACTGCTTTCCTTTGAGTAGATGTATAAAATTATCGAGTGACTTCCAGATATCAGGTGTTGGATATAGTAGATATTTTTAGAAGTCACTACTTCTGAGGTTCTCTTCTGGGAAAAAGCCAACTAAGAATAGATGACAGAATATTTAAATTTGTTTTCTCTGTCTTCCACCCACATCATGAAGGGATTTGAAATTGAAGGTAATAGAAGTGAAATATAAAAAATGACCATCAAAGTATAGATAAAGGATAAGACGGTATATACATGGGACAAATGAATGCACATATGTCCTCAATCAGGGTTATAAAATCTGTGGTGAAAGGAATTAGCACTGGGTGGGCTGTCGTGAAAGTACTCATAGGCCGGGCGCAGTGGCTCACGCCTGTAATCCCAGCACTTTGGGAGTCTGAGGCAGGTGGATCACGAGGTCAAGAGATCGAGACCATCCTGGTCAACATGGTGAAACCCCGTCTCTACTAAAAATACAAAAATTTGCTGGGCATGGTGGCGCACACCTGTAGTCCCAGCCACTTGGGAGGCTGAGGCAGGAGAATTGCTTGAACCCAGGAGGTGGAGGTTGCAGTGAGCTGCGATTGCACTCCAGCTTGGGTAACGAGTGAAACTCCTTCTCAAAAAAAAAAAAAACAAAAACTACTACTCATAAACTTCTAGGAAGAAACTTTCTTAGAGCTTTGCTTACCTTTCTGCTTTTTGTTGTGTATCAAGTGTTGCTACTATTAATATATAGAGAGAGAGTAGTAAAAAATTATATATATAAACATAAAATTAATTATGTAGTTCTCTAGTAATTGTTAAAGCCAAGGAAATAAAGTGTAAGTTAGTTAGGAGTTTATGAGTAAACGTGCTTATGTTGCTAAATCTGGGCCTACAGTCTTGACAGCTGCTGTCGGTTAGTTCTATGTCATGCTTTGTTTGGATTGTGTCTAATGTTCATGTGTATTTAATGTATCTATTGCCAGGTTGTAGTGGCTCTGGTGATAATGCTAAATTTTTCAACTTTTTCATAATACAATTCTAATTTATGAAATTAGCCAGAAGATTGCATTGATATGTTTTGTATTTCCTTAGCTGCATTTAAGAAATAGTGGTGAAAAATTTGATATGTTGAAAATGTCCCTTGGGTGTGATAGCTGACACCTGTAATCCTAGCACTTTGGGAGGCCAAGGTGGGCAGACCACTTGAGGTCAGGAGTTCAAGACCAGCCTGGCCAACATGGTGAAACCCCTTTTCTGCTAAAAAGACAAATATTAGCAGGGTGTGGTGATGGGCACTTGTAATCCCAGCTATTCAGGCAGGAGAATCACTTGAACTGGGTGGAGGAGAGGAGGTTGCAGTGAGGCAAACTGTCAAATATACCTTGCTTACTTAAAATAAATGCTTCATCACAGATTCTATTTATGATATTTCAGATACGTGCATTATCACGCATTCATATAACTGGAGCATTCACTTCAGAACAGAGCTTTAAGAGTTAATGATTTTATTATAGTATTGCTGTGTATTGATCATCTGCTATGTGGCAGGCATTGTGCTGGATGTTGAGGATAGGACAGATTTAAGATACAGGTTTGTTGTTGACTAACTGTGTACTCAAGTCCTGATAATGGGTGCTAACGGAGAGAAAAGATGGTATCTGTAGCTTAAAATGATATGTAATCTTAATGATACACACACACACACACACACACACACACACGCTTATATGTATGTAGTTTATATGCTTTCTAATCTTTATTTTTGGTATACATGATTGCTATGCACTTTAGAGTGATTCATCTGTTTGTGGTGATCCAACTTTTAGTTTACTTAGCTATGAATCAAATTTTGTTGGATTGAGCTAACTACAGATAGGAACTTTCTCTTTGAGGAGTAGTATAGCCATAATGATTATGGGCAAAACTTTGAGTTTGAATTTTTTTTCTCTCTGTGTGGCTTTAGGCAAGTTATTTAAAACTCAGTGCCTCAGTTTTATCATCCTTTAAATAGGCATAATAATACCTTTTTTAGGATTAAGTGTGAGAACGTATGTAAAGTGCTTGGCATGGTATCTGGTATCTCATAAGAAATCGGTTAGTGGTAGCTGCCATTATTTTGTTATTGTTATGTTTCCAAATATATGCGGACTACTGGTTCAAGCCGTCAGCTGATTGGCATATATGGAATGACTGCCTACGGTCAGCCTAATGATGTGGTAGTAATAAAAAGAATGTACCTAGGATTTACCTATTAATAAAGCAACAGAACTTTGCTGATTGGAAGTTTAGAACCAGACTATGTTGAATCATTTGAAACAGTTGATCCACAAAGGAGGCACACGTGTGAAAAGAGCTGGCAGGTTCATCAGCAAGTGATATTCGAAGGCATGTGTTAAGCAAACCAAACAGATGGGCAGTTTTGTAATTATGCTTGATATTTGAGGAGAGGAATTACATTTTGGTCATATTTCCATCTCCAAGACCGGGCACAGAGCCTGTCACATAGTAGGTAATCTATAAGTAAATTATGGACAAAGAGGCATATTTGTAAACACACGCATACCTATATGTATAAATGTAAAGAAATATGGATACACATACACACATGTATAAAGTGGCCCATATAGGGCAGTTAAAAGCAAGAAAACAAAATAAAAATATGTTTACAAGGAAGGAAAACCCAGTGACTAGTAGCCTGAAAATTACAATATAAGTAATGCAATGAACTTGATAAATGAGGCCTTATGGATTGAAGGGCCAGCTCTGCTATAATCAAAAGGGGTGGCTGGGTGGGGGGAGCTTTCTGATTTGCCTAACAAAGTAGCATTTTGCATACCCATCCCCAACATCAATGTGTGATGTTACTGAGGCTCCCAATACACACAATCTTTTTTTAAAGGCTTGCTATTATTTTGTGTGATTTGTTTTAGATATGTTTCATGTCATGTTATTATTGCCTGATAAGCTAAGAAGTATTAAAACTGCATCAAAATTTATATAAATCCTTGGCATCAGTGATAGCATTAAACAGTGGTAGAACACTGGCTGTTGCTAAATATCCACAGAATAACTGACTTTAGCATATTTTCCTCGTGGATTCAGTGGTGATATGCGGTATTAAAATGCATTTTTTCCAACATCTTATCTTGCTCTGTCAACGGTTGTTTTTCAGTTTTACATGACAAAGAGAACAAGGGTTATGCAACCCACAGAGTTTTGCATATCTATTTGGTACTTTTTTATGAGCTTCTAACCAGGGCAAAACAGCTACCCTGAAATATTACAGAAAGAATTTTCCCCCATCCATGGTATCATTAAAATGTATTATTCCTTTTGCTTAACATCTTACAGTGAAATATTTTATTTCTTCTGTTTTAAATATTAATCCTTTGATTTTCCTGACATTTACCTGTTTATTCTATCAGAAATATATTTTTATTGGTTTCACTGGAATCTGAATCAACGAGAGTTAGTGCATAATTAAATCATTTGTGCTCAACCAGTCAACATTAAAGTTTACATAACTAAGGTTTTAAATGTCTGATCTATACAGATCTGCATCTGATGTAATTTAAAAAAATTCTTATGCAAATAGCTATGAATTTATAAATGACATTGGCTATCTTTGTAAAGATACAAGTCATTTTGTAGTAGATATCTTAAAAGAAAAACTGATTTTAATTTTGAACATTTTTACATATTTTAAAAAGTTAATACTGAATTGACATTATTTTATAGATTATTCTCTTTATACAATGTATGTTTTCTTCATCCTATGTTTTATAAATATGGCTGTTTTATCAAATAATATGTACAATATTTTATGCAGATGTATTTATACACAATGAGAAAAATTTGTAAAGGAAATGATAGAAATATTATGAGATTGTTTTCCTAAGTTGAACACAAATATAACAAAGACATTTATTTTCCAGTATTAGTGAAGGAATAATTTAATTTTGCTGATTGTTTTCATTTTATAATACAAGAAGCTTCCTCTGTTACAAGAGATGCTGTCTTACACCTTTCAGTTAGCTAGCCTTGACAATGTTGCAGGATTCTTCAGTAGTTTTTCAGGTTTTCTGCTCCAGAAAAATCTATGTTAGCTTTTCTATAATAAGTATTGTTTCAGAGTTTACAAGTTACCA